GCGTCCTTGCTCCTAGTAGCGATGCCCTTTGCTCCTAGTAGCTTCTTAATGCCATTCACTCTTTTGCTTTTTCACGTCCTTTGAGTCGTTTTTCGACGGAGAACCATCCGCTGCAAGATGCCAATGTGGTCCGCGGTCGGAAGGGCGCGAGAGCGTCCAGTGCTTTCATTGACTACTGCAATTCTATTTGTGCACGACGAGCCAGTTCACCGATATGTTTGGGTAGTAGAACCACCATCCAGTTGATGCATTCGAGAAGCCCAGCCATCCGTGGATGGCACCGCATGATGGCACCGTGAGGTGAATGTGATGAAATGGTGATGCTGAAAGATGTACAGTACTGCTGCCTGGGTGAGCATTCGCAAGCTTTCTCTTTAAGAGTTTTTCCCAGCCCAAGAATTGTTTGCAAATGTTTGCAATGATTAGCAATAATGATATGGTATGACATGGTCATTTATGGTTGATAGGGGTGCGACAGCCCTGCAATGTCGACTGTTGCAGGGTCTGGGGGAGAAGTTCTTGCCCAGCTCGTTTTCGTGATTTGACCGGAAGACATTTGTTTGTCGGCACCGTGCATTGATTTATTTCACTGTGCATACGCCGTACGCCCAGGTGAAGTGTGGTGATATGCCACAAAGAGGTGCAAGACATCGGCCGGTGGTGGCCCAATGGGTCCTAAGCACCCTCCGTGCCAGGAGAGCCCTCCGGTTTTCGCAGCCTGACACCCAACCTGAACAAGACAACGCATGCATTGTAACTGTATACAGCTATATAGAATGAACTAATATATATATATATAGATACAAGTGAACAGGGTGTACACACGCTTGGATTTCGGTTTTATGGACACATTTCAAGAACTCGCATCGCCTGCCATGGCTCGTATAGGCAGTCAGGCCTTTGTACAGAAGCCCCAAGTTGGTCCTGTGCCCAACGATGCGCAGTGGGGGCGACCCCTTCCCCAGATCGGTGCCCTGCGATCCCAAAAAACGCACCCGTGCCGTGTAGAGCTGCCAATTCCGAAACGAAGGCCCGAGGCGGCAGCTGTCTAAGCCTTGTCAGACTGCTTCCGGCTTCAGGCTTGTTGATGGATTGGCAGGATGGGGAGTTTATATAGTATAGAAGGCCTTTTGGCTGCAGTGCTTCTCTCTCACCCTCTTCGCATGACAGGCAACAGTTCTAAAACAATACTAGACAGAAAGTGCACGGAGCAAGCATTGTGCACAATGACGAAGAGGGGCTGAAAGAGTTTAGCCTAAAAGACGCAGTCGGCGAGTCTGCATTAGATCCAAGCGCAGTGTTTCCCGAGAAAAGGCAACGGCTGTGCTGGGTGCGTTTGTTGTCGTCGACATGCTCTTCAGATTTGTTCATCGCTCGCCGCTCGCAGTTCAATTCTTTCCCTGTTAGTGACGGCATTTTCAGGATGGTTTCCTGGGTCCCGCTCTTTTCCGAGAGGTTGATGATTGCCCATTCTTGAGCCATAAGCTCACCATTTTTTAAGTGATGATCTCAAATCTACTTTGCACCTCCTGTGGCTTCCTTGACTGGGGACAACTTCGTCAGCCTAAGCGCAGCAGTGCAACTGCATGATTTTATCGGTGCACCCTTTAGTGGTGAATGACCACATTTCAATGGTCACCATTTTGTGGATGTTTGCTTTGGCCTAGCTCACATTCATGGCTGCAGCCCAGCTGATGCGTTCGCCCAATGGTATAGCTGGCATAGTCCTTTGACTGGAATGTCATGGGCCGCTCAAGCCAGCCTTCAGCTGCCGGCTTCAGGCATGCAGGCTAAACATGCTTCAGATCAGGAAGCTGAAGATAAAGCCGTGGAAGAGAAATGCGAACTCTTGCGTGCTCGTCTCCGATCCTCTCTTTCTGAAGAAGATCTCCAATTTGCCCTGGACTTATTGACGTCCCAGATTCGAGAGACCTGGGGCCTCCGTCGTGTTTTGGCACAACGTGAGGATCGCCTTGAGGAGAGTTCCTCCCCCACACGCCGCGATCGTGGGCAGTTTCAATTGCGGATCTTCGAAGCAGAAGCCCGGATGGCACGAAAGGAGGAGTTGGTTGAAGCGGAGCTGTGTGCTGAGCTGGTGCAAGAAGCCAAAGGTCTAGCAGCACAGGCTGATAATTGGCGCAAGCAGAATCAAGCTCGGGATCGGGATCCAAGGCCACTTGACTGAGTATCAGGTGGTGAGTTCAAGATGTGTGCCATTGTGTGCCAAGGAAGTTTATATAGGTTTGGCTAGCCACTACTGTACCAGAATAGTTCCACTTAGTCCTTGTTTTAACAGCATTCTTTAACCTTTAGCTGCTCTTGACAACCTGGTGTTCCCATTCCGCTGTTTGTTCTGTTTTGTTGAGTGCTCATTACCTGACCTGGTTGGACTCTTATAGGCTGGCCCACTGGGAAGAGGCGGCCCTGCGTTTGCCTGCAGCCCTCTCTACCGAAAGTGCCCTCCGCGAGCGCGCAGAGCGCCTGAGCGAGCAGGAGCAGCACCTGCAGTCTCAGGTGGAAGAGCATCCAGCCGGCAGACAATATGATGAACATCAAATTGCTCAAGTTTCTGTCTAGGTCGAGGGCTAATCCTCTTCATCTAAAACAGCCTGACTTGTTGAAATTTACTCCAGTATACTCCAGTCCAATTTCTCAATCTCAATGATAGCCCTCCAAGAGAGCTCCTGTTTGTTTGCGCATCTCCTTCCAGGTATCAGCTCCACTCTGCCTCAGAGCTCGTGGCGAGTCGCTTTGAAGTTAGCGACCTACAGCGTCAGTGCGGCGAATTGCGGGGGGAGCTCGTCCAGGCCCAGGCGGAAATGTCCATGGATGCCCAGCCTCTCGCCAGCGCAGTACACCTGCAGGCACACCCACAGCGGACCCGCGCGGGCGGAGCCGGAGTCGCCTGGCAGGCACAAGGTCCGGGTGGCACCGTACGATGGCACGATGCCAATGCGGTGTTCGAGAGCTTTGCATCACCCGGTCCACAGGGGATGCAGATGTATCCAGCGGATTTTGGCCATTTGTGTGAAAAGCTCCGGCGGGCTCAAGGCCGCGGCCCCAGTGCTGAGAAGGAGCGGCGGGAGTTTGCCCAGTTTGCCTTCACCGCGGTTTTTTGGGAATGAAGCAGCCGCAGAGCGGAGCATGTTCCTCCGACTCTACCCACACTTTGCATTGATGTTGCAAGAGCTAGAGGAAACATTTGCTTCACCAGATGACTAGGCCAGAAAAGATCGATCATCCCATGACGACATAATATGACGACCATCCGGAAGCCACCGACCACGGAAGCTGATGCCACAGCCATGCGGTCTCGTGCAACACGACAACAGGTGAGATCCATCCAATCTTTGAAGGCCCAGAAGTACCTGAGATGTGTCTCACAGTGGGCGAAAAAAAGGGTGTTTCTTCACACACCGCCCCACAGAGCAACCACCAGTCCGTCGCTCGAAGTTGTTTGGTTCCTGGAGACGCGAAGGAAAAAGAGGCGCGACTGGCTGGCGCCCAAACAGCGACGAAACCAGACATGGCCAGGGGGCTCGGCATGTGTGCGGTACATGAAGACACGGTTAGATCATCATGTCGTGAACCTCAAACTCAGTGGAAAAGGTCATCCGAAACACCCGGTCTTGAGGATCATATTCACCTCTCGAACAAAAGTCACAAACACAAAACGCACCAAGAACCTGGTTGAGATTCTTTTTCCAAACCCAAATTTACACATGATAAACATGTCCGTTTTCTTGTGCTGAGGACATGAATGGCATCTCCATCAGCTTGTTGCCCTTTAGCAGCTCTTGGTCCTCGTTGATTTGTGCACCGGTCTCCTCCAGTGCTTGGCCGGCGGCTGTGAAGCCGGAGTTTCCCACCAGCGCCGCCGTGCAGGTGAAGGAGAGACGGGCCTTCAGGCGGTTTTAGCCTCAGCCTTCCTAAGCCCCTAAGCAGGAAGATGAGTGAGGAGTGTGTATTTCCCCTGTTTGGCCTATGCCATCACCAGCACGCAAACCCGACTGGTCCGAGTCGGCGAGGATTGCTTCGAGGGGGTGTCACCCTCCAGCGATGAAACAGTGAAAGGCATGCTGGAGAAGGCCTGCAAGGCACTGATCGCCGCCAAGTCTGAGCAACTTGGAAGACTCCAAGTTGGAGCGCCCGAAACGCGCGCTTTTTCGTGCGATTCAGATGTATATATGACTGATGTAATTAGATCCAATATGATCCCAGCTCCATCAGTGGGCATTCAAGTACTACTTGCACTACTTACTTGCTGGTGCTTTAGTTTGTGGTGCAGCCTCGCACACGGGACGGGCTGTGCAAGGGTTTCTTCACTTTGAGGTTCTCCTCTACTTTTGAGGCGTACGTACGTCTAGTTTCTTTAAGGGAAATGGCTGGAGGAACATGGCACACTCTTTCTGACCTCATGGCATGATTTTAGGGAAAAATTGTTTGTTTGTTTGTTTGTTTGTGTGTTTGTTTGTCTCAATGAATACTCATTCCAGCAACTAGCGGCTAGCGACGAAATCAGGGTATCGTCGCCCCTTGTTGATCGCCCATTCTAAACCTTTTGCATCCTTTTGCTATGTTTGCCCCAGCACCGCCTGTTTCTTTGGCATCCTCATACGCTCGTCCATCACCCAACGCTCGTTCAAGCCAACGACCCTGAGCGAAACAAGCGAAATGGGATGTGCAGGATTGGAATGGGACGTTTCTGTCGTCAACCCGAAAGAAGGCAAGTCACCGCACTACCTTTCACACATTTGAGATATTTTGAGGCTAAGTCGTAGCTGGGCATAACATGGCAGTGTGGTGCTCAAAACCAACTCGATCTAACCCGAAACCTTGAACATGTCAAACATAACATTAAACAGTTAAACATGCTAAAACCTCTCAAAACGGGTTGTTCAGCTCAGCCATTAGCAAATCCCTCCAGTTCTACTCCTCGGTGTTGTCAGAGCACCAAACGCTTAGCCTCCTCGTCGCCGCTGCCGCTAGATCGCCGAGGCTGGATCGCTTAGATGGGAAGGTGGGCGATGCAGATTGTGGTTCGACCATGGCCAAGGTGCGGAACGGAACGTGTCAAGGATTCTGGACATCGAAACTAAAGAACTTATGACATCACCTATCAGATTATCATGACCTTGGTTGTTTCATTTTTCCATGAAAAGCCGCCATTGTCACCAAAGAAAGGCGTCGTCCCCAGGCAGCCACAAGCATACTGGAGAAGCAGGAACGATTGCCGATGGCTGATCCGAAGGCCTTTTGTGCTTGCTTATCAGACCTTTTGGGTTTCTCGGCTTGTTGAAGATTCTCTTGGACCATGGAGGCTTCTTCAAGGTCTCTCTCTTCAAACTAGACACACCACTGCCAGCCTGCCTGTTCTCTGCAGATTGTGTTCCATGCAGTTCTCCTGCTACTGTAGTTGTGTCTTTCGCTAGCACTGCTCCATGCATTCTGTTTGCTTCAGACCTTCAGATCGATGAGAAACTCAAATGTTGGAAGCCGGTTTGCTTCAAGGGGCTTGAAGCCTTTGGCTCATTTGCCCACGCAAGAATCTCAGCTTTCTTTTACATTCCACCATCCTCACCCATCGTCACTCGTCGGCATTGTAGCACAGAACCAGCTGTGCCCATGAAGCGGTTCTCCTTGGAACCGGCTTTGACATATTTTACAAGACACGTTGGACACATGTATTGAAACACCAAGAAGGCCACCCACCGATGCCCAAAGGCCGCACCCGCGAGAAGCGCCCCCTTACGAAGCACCGTGGTTTGCTCGGTGCTTCGTTTCGGCCGGCGGCCCTCGCCGTCAGTGAGGCAAGACCATGGGTGGCTCCAGTGGCGTATTGCTGAGCATCATGTTTATGGGCATGCCACTGGGTGCGTCATTGGTGACCCAGCCAGACCTGCATCTCCGTGCTGATGTGGGAACGACTTCCGGAAATCGACGGAGAACATCATGATGTTGCTATACCCGATGTCTAGCTATGTAGCTACACTGGGTGTGCAGCGTACCTGATAATACACAGCACCCGGGAATGCGGATTACCAGCATGACTGGATAGCCTGAAGCCAGCTGCTCCTTTCACAGAGTGGCCCAGCCTTGGTGAAAGACTTTGGATGAATTGCACTTGGCTCAAAACATGGAGCGTATCATGCAATCTTCCTGCAGTGTCGGCAACAAGACTCCTATAAAATATAGCATATTATGAAATATGGTGGTCCTTAGACCTTAAATGTCAAGTTGCTGCAGCATCACCATCCATGACCCAAAGAGATCCAGAGGTGATCGTTCACCTCCTTTTTCCCACACGAACTGCAGGTCCAGCCATTGGGAGTCCGGCTCCAACTGGAGCTCCCTCCCTGAAGCCTTCAAGGCGGGTCAGACGTCATCGGGTCGATCTTGGGCGATTGCTTCGGCGGTTTTGTCAAGGCCCTCACAGCACGGGCTCTTTTACACAGGCGTTGTAAGCCCTCCTTGGTCTCCTTTTAGTGTTGGCCATAGCTGCACATCGCATTCCTCAAAAAGTCAGAGTTTGCCAAAAAAAGCCTGACGTTGACGGCTTAAACTTCCATGCAAGGGAGCCGTGGAGGTCATACCACGGTCTTGAGGACCCATTAGTTATGATCCATGAGATATGGACGGAGGCTCTTTGAACATCCAATCAAGGAGCACGGCAAAATCTTCAAAAGACAAAAGGTGATGAAGGTTCTCCTTCGTTGGTTTTGGGGGTCCTTCCCCAGAGTCCAGAGGGGCTGCAGCAGATGCATCAGATTGACTGCCGTTTCAAGCAGAGCTCCTCAAGGAGCACCTGAGAGCCCACAGATGGTATGCCAGGCAGGCCTTCAAGCGATGATGGATGCAGGTGGTGCCAGTCCAGGCCGGGCTATCCAAGTGGATGCCCAGTGGGAGGGTGCGGCGTTTTGTGGGCTGTGTCGAGTTTCGGCGTTGGGATTCCCTTGAATTATGACCATTATAGAATAGATGACAACCTTTGCACCAACCAGGCCACCAATTCATCAATTTCAATGAGTTACAGTAGATCTTTTTGTTTAATGATGCTGATGGGTTTTCCTTCGCCTGCCCTTTGCTGAGATGTTGCTCAGGTTCTCGCACGATGCTGGATGCTTTGGTGCCTGCTGCTGATGCCTTGATCGAAAAGAAGGGTCTCACAGGCAGGATCGTGAGAATTTTGGCGAACTTGCTGAGTCTTTGCCCAGAGACGATTTGAAAATATTGACCTCAGGTGGTATGGGCTATCAAAAGCACCCAGAAGGCAAAGTCACCTAGCACCGAATCCACTGAAGTGGACGAGCTCATACAACCGGTTCGATCGCCGCCGCCAGGTGCTGCGGCTGCAGCCAAGGAGGGCTGTGAAGCGACGAAGTCCATGAAGCCTAAGGTTTGGCCAGATGGGTTGGGCATGCTCGCGGAGTTTTGAGGATCGTTGGAGTTGGTTTCAGCTGGTTTTCTGCGGCTCCCTCCTACTTGTATCAACCCGGACCATCACATGAGCCTACCTATAGACCCCATGAGACCGGACCGTGGTGAGCCCTTCCGCCCTTCCCAGGCTGGTCGATCGGAGAATGTGCCAGAGTCAGTGCTGAAAGGCCAGGCGGTCGACCCAATTGCCAGGGATCCACTGGAGATGCCGGCACAAACCAAGCAGATGCCAAGCAGAGGATATCACAGCCATCGATCATGAAGGATCCCATGAATTGAGCCAGTTTGGTCACAGAATGGATCAAAAGAAGTGCCCGGAAAAGATGACAATCAACCTGACTCGCTCTGTGTTCGACCATCTTTCGTGAGGTGTGCCCGACCCGGGCGCCAAAGCCGTCGAGCTTCTCTTCGCAGCACTGAGCTGACGGGCGCCACACGCAGCTCCTCCCGCACCGTTGTGGATCACTTCGTTAGCGGAGACACCGTGGCGCGCGTCACGAGAAACCACAGATGTTCGATGGAAAGGGCCGCGGAAAAGGCTGCAGATCGGCAGATGATTTTTGGAGATTGGGGTGGGGGGGACCAAATTGGAATAAGGGCCTCTTAAAGTGGGCTGATAGTATCAGGGCATATCATGGCTACTGAATTGCTAAGGCTGCTAAGGTCTGCTAAGGCTAAGGGGTGATTTTGATCCATCCGGGCACTAACAAGGAGATCCCGTCACTTTCGCTCCGGTTGTGCAGTAAGCCTTGATGTACCAGGATGAGATGGGTGGTTGATGTATATTGATGAGTTGATGTTATTGAATCCTCTTTTTGTTAATACGCGTTGTTCAGTGAGGTTTGGACATGAAGTGGCATGAAGTGGTGTGGTAGGACGCTGCCACACGAATTGAGGCTCGAAGCCGGAAAGGATAACCCTCAGACTTCTGCTTAGTTTGACAATGCTCCCCTTTTTGGTGCTATGCCTGATTTGTCCAGCCCTGAGCATCTGGCATTCAGCAGACCTCCTCCTAAAAAAAAGGCCGAAAATGGACGGAAGTGTTTGCACTGACAATCTGTGGGCCCGGCTTAATGTTGTTGCATCGCAGATGTTCAGTTTGGGAAATGTAATGCTTGGGTTGGTGCCGGAATTTGGCTGGTCTTGCTGAAATGTCCCGGCACAATGACGCAGCCAAGGAGCGCCAATAGAACATGCCCGGAGTTGGAACTGTAGGGATACCGGGTACATCGGTACATCCCTGACTACGAGTCATATGATATGTTGATCATGTTTTGGTACATTGGTACATTGTCAATACTCGCGCAGTGTCGTGACTGTGCCCCCCCTTCTAATCTCACATGACATTTGCAGTTAGATATTACCCGGACATACCCAGACACTCCATGTAGGTGGTTTCAGGGGAATAACATCGAATAACCATTATATACTCATTGATTTGTTTAATGTTCCATGCATACATGGAGTGTTTGGGCATATCCTAGCCCTTGATGCCACACACCGGACCTCTACTCAAACCACAGAGCAAGCCTCAGAGTCTGCGCTTCAGCCATGCGGATCTCGGAAGACTCCATGGAATGGCGTGAACTGGTGGATCAAGTTCTCGAGGCGTGACTTGAGGGACTGGATCGGAGTTGGACATATTTTTGCGGTGATGGTGATAGTGATCGGTGTGATGTTTGGATTTTGGATGATGGATCTGTATGATCGTGGATCACACCATTGTGAGGTCATGCTCGGAATTGTTATACCAAGCATATCATGTTTCGTTTGGATCTCTTTCGTTGCACCGATCCAATGGGCGGTGTTCGGTCCGATCTTCAGAACCCACGTTTCGCCACGCTTCCCTGGCGAGGCTGCCAGGGTCGAACGTTTCGAAGGGCTGAAACGAATGGGGTACCTAGTTGAGGTGGCCGGCGGAGCATTGCCCTGGCCAGACCTCCAAGAACGGCTGCTGAAACGAATGGCGAAGCTTGGGACTCAGGTGCCTGAGGGCGGGGACGCGACTGGGTCCTTAGAGGTCCGGATGGGGTAAGCTTGGTCTTTGTCTTGGAATGCCAGATGTTTTGTTTTGTTTGTTTTAATTAGGTGACCATTTGGACTGTTAGGATCATGGAGAGATCCCGGCACCCGACCCAACGATGGTCGTTGCAATCGTAGTTTGCGACTGTTCCTCGCTGTTCGATGCACTTCTTCGGTCGGAGGCGGAGCACTTGGCCTTGCAAGTCTTGGTGCCTTGACCTGAAGTCACAGCATGTCACAGCTGCCAAGCAGGGACACTCCAAGCAGGGACTGGAATGGAAAGAGAAGGGCGCTCCAGCCAATGTATGGCCATGTATGGCCCAAAGAACCTCACCAAAGGTACCACTTGAAAGCCGCTGAGAGCACATGAAGGTAGAGACTTCCTCGCCAGGCACGGGCCTTCAAACTTGCCAATCATCACTCGCATGCATGTTCGGAAAGGCATGGCTGACCACGAGACCAGCATCGCCCAAGGCCAACATTCCAGAGTCTTACTTAAGCTCTGAAGACTGCCTGGTGCGTTTGCCGCGGCAAGATCGTGCCTGTGTTCGTTGCGAAGATCTGGCTGCCTTGAAGCACGAGCTGCGGGATGCTCGCCCTGGATCATGTTAAACTAAGTCTAGGATGCTCGTTATATATATATATAGATGTATGTATCATTATGTAAATATGTCTACGTGGAGGTGTTTGGGAGTGTAACGTGACGCGAAGGCTCTTCAGCGAGCCGAAGCCGAAGTAAGTCGTGTTTTTTCTCGGTCCTTAGGCGTGGTATCTAGACTCTAGACCACTGCTGAGCTATTGGAGGATAAGTCCAAAGCCAAGGCCCATGTGGCAGGGACAGCACAAGACCTTTTCCCATAGCTATAGCTGAGTTTGAAGAACAGGAGAAAGAACTGGTGTCACAACATTCGTAACCAACGTTGAAAGCCAAAGTTGGTAGACCATGTTGTTTAGGCTGCTCCCTTTCAAGAACCAAATTGTGGAGATTGGGAAGCCCAAATAGAGCTTGCCCCGAAGACTAGGAACAGATACGAATAGAGCACAACCGAAATTAAATAAGCCATGGAACACCTGGATGAGTTTTAGTCGAGGGTGGGTTCAGGGTGATCTAGTGACCCCACCCACCTTTGATAAGTCCACGGAAGCTTTCCTGTACTTCAGCCCAGACTGCGAGGTGGCAGCGCGGTCTTCGTCTTTGGTGTTGCTGTCCTTTTCCTCAACACTTTGTGTGCCATGTGGGCGGCTAAAGCCTGAGCTGCAGCAGTTGGCCTTAGAGATGCCAGAGGTCATCTTCTTGGAGGCCATGGCTGTGGCTGCAGAATCGGTTGATCGGATGTATTTTTTTGGGAGATGTGTAAAGGAGGAAGGACTGGGGGAACATTATGAGACGTTTGGATTGAACAATTTTGAAGCGATGTTCGTTCGTCTTCAACGAGTTTGTTTAGATCGAATTGGGGATGGGAAAAGATACCCCTTGCATGGGCCGTTTTGGCCATGCACGAAATGGCGCCTGGCTGCCAACCATTGTGGTTGGACATACGAAACTGCCACACAATGTGACCTGTATGTTTTTTTGATCAGGAATTTCGAGGAAGTGGAAGAAGATGACTATCATATATGTGTGAAATGGTCAAACTATACTATATAGACCTTGTAGCGTGAAATGCAAGCTATTATGTGCAGGCTGGTTGGCAGTTTCTTCACCCTGATGTTGAGTCACGCAAGTTTAACCACGATGGAGGCTTTGAGGTCTTAGGATGGAAGGCAACACTTGTTGAAGCTCCTAAAAGAGTCTAAAGGTGGGTGGTCTTTGAAAAGCAAAAGAACAAAACCCTAGGAAGGTGTTCTAAAAGTTAATGCCTAAAAGGTCGGTGTTAAAAAAAACAAGAGGAACAAATCCCTAGTCCTGGCCTGTAGAGGGAAAGATCCAAGTGACCCCAGCCTTACGGATCGGTATCCGACCCCGAAAACGCCATCCCCCCCAAGCCAGGTGGATGTGGAGCAGAATGAAGCTGCAGCAGACGCATATCAGGTCACATGCTTGCCTACCTGCGTCTTTCTGAAAGAGGGCATCTTGTCGGCAGGGGGTTCACTGGATCTACCATGACCACACCTCCAACACCTGAGGACTGATTCAGTTTAAGTCCATTAGAGTGTCCATTAATTAGCCACATATATATATATATATATAGAATTCTAGAAGATCTGTAAATATCAGTAAATGTTTCGAAAGCAGAGGATCAGCAAATCCGCAAATCAACAGCCTTTCGAGGCCAAGTCTTGGGACGATATGAAGGCTCCGACGTCGACACGTTGACGCTCAAGCTGGTGGAGTACAAATGAGCTGTCACGAGTCAAGTGACGAGCTGGGCTTTTCATTCGGTGTTGGGAATGTAATGTGTTCCAGAATCACTCCGAAGGTTGAGTGGTAACTACTGGAAAGATAGGGAGCCCTGTCTTTATGTCATGCCCGAAGCAGTCCATGATCCTCGAGAAAATGCGATTGATGCGATGCGCCAAAACAAACTTATGTTCCTTTCTCTTGTTTCTGTTTTTTTGCTTTTAGCTGCCCAAGAATGTCTTGTAACATCTTGTTTCCCCCCTATTCTCTATGTTATTCTATGTTCCAACCTGTCTTGGTGGTTTGAAGACTGTCAACTGCGGAGTGCGCTGCTTTGGACTCCAAGACCAAGACCAGCTCTTTCAGTCCCAGAGGTGCAGCTGGGACTGACACCCTAAGGTGTTCTGGTGAGGAGACCTGACAGGGCTGGGAGATGTTGGGAGGGGACCCTTGACGAAGAATCTACATCAACCGCCCAATTTTAGTAATTGCATGATATTGCATGAGTAAATATTCAAGGGTCGCGTATTCACTGAAAGTGCAGTCCACACGCATGGCTGGTCGTACTCACCGTCGCACATGGCTCTAGTGTTCAGTAGATTCAGCAGATGAAGGCAAGTCAAGCACAATCCATCGGACTGGAACGAAAGAGTAGCAACTGTCCCGCTTTGCCATGTTTTTTCTTGTGTGGAAAAAACGGATGTCAACAGCAACAAGTCCATGCAGCCCACGTGCCACACCTTTTGTCTCAATGAGTAGCAGAGAGCCGAGCAGCCCTGACGCAAAGGCAGGATCTTCAGTGCAGCTGTCAGTGAGAAACATGCAAGACATGTAGCCTTCTAAGAATTTATATAATACTTGGATAAGCTTTCTTTGGAACCTGGGTGACTGATCTCAATCTCTCCTTGCCCGGTTCCGTGTCTTGGTGTCCTCCTCTTCTTCGCGAGCGCCGTCGCCACTGAGCGTGGCCTCCGGATGCCTCCGTGGCAGGATCAAGCCCACTTGGCGCCACACCATCGGACCAAGGCCGAGAAAGGAGGGTCGACAGTTCGCCCGGACTCCGGAGCGGAAAGAGGGTGAGGACAGTTCGGTGGCGGCCTCCCCAAAAAACCGAGATTTGTTGGCCAAAAAAGATCACAAAAGATGCAACAAAGAAAAGTAGGCTGAAAGCCTCCTGGAGCCAGTGGAAATCTGTGGATCACGAGGGTATTTTTTGGTGATCCACATCCATGTGACGGTTCTGAAGACGTTTGAGCATGCAGATCGCCATGATCATATCGTGAAGAAAACCCTATAGTGACCTAGGTGACATGAGAATGAAGGAAAGGTAGATCGTTTGCCCAGTTTCTGTGGCTCTTTGCTTCATTTGGCGTTCTGGGGGGTGCCAGGGAGATGTCCCTTTCCGCACTCGGCTGTGCCTCGGCATCGGGTGTTTGAGAGCCACCCAGGCATGCGATCAGTACCAGCTTGGGCGTACGTCATAGTCATTATACCGGGACCCCCCCCCTTCAAGGTCAACAAGGTCAACAAGGTCTGAGATTGGAGGTATTGGAGGACCACATTTCCTTAATAAAGATGATGACCTGATGATGGATGATGAGATGAAGACCTGGACCTGATCATGGATGATGGTTGATGGGATTCTGTGTCATGAGAGTTTGAACCATGAGAACCATGAGGGCTTTGAGTGTATTGGCGCAAGCTTGATTGTTAAGAGATCAGATATCAGATAGGATAGATCAGAGAGCCATGCCAATTGGATCATTGCACATCAGAGCATGGAGGATGAGGAATAGGAGGTGGAGGCTATTTCACCATGGACCAGAAGATATTGGAGACTAGCCAAAAAGAAAGTACATATAAAAGAGTTATGAATAAAAATGTGTATATACATATATATATATTTATAAATATATATATATATATATAATGGTAAACTATATTTTTCACTTTCTGGGGCAGCTGGGGTTGATTAATAGGGGGAGGTTTCTGCCCAGGAAAAACATATTGGGGGGGTGTCAAGCTGGAAATCCAGGTTTTAAATTAGTTTAGTATTGGTGGGGTCGAGCTGGGATTGATTAGTCGGGGGTGGTCACTTCATCCTATGTTGACATATTGTAATTATATTTATATGTTTGTTTTTGTATGGTGTTTCCACGACCGGCATTTTGTAGCAGCCCTGAACCCCACGTACAATCATTCTGTAGAGAAAGAGTGTTTCATAGCTGAAAAATGGGGCGACATGACCTCACCATGGAAACGCGCGCCGGGATTCATATATGTGTGTTCAATTCCATGCTGAGATGTGACCACTTGCAAATTCACTATACCACCCAAAACGCTTGTCTTGAGAGTGTGCATTTTTGGCGTGAGCCATCCTGCAGCGGTTGGGCCACCCGGCCAGACGGACAGCAAGGCGGCCCCCGTAGAGAGATCCATCAGGCCATCCTGGGATGACCTGAGCCAATTCCCAATTCATCGCAATTCTGACACCCGCCTTCACAGGTTTTTTTTTTTAGGAACGTTTTTCCCCTTTTTTTTTGGGGGGGGGGTAACCTTCTTCCAACATTCTTTTTGAGAAAGGCGTCGACTTCAGTACGCCAACCGTACTGAACTCGTTGTCAATGGCACTGAACCTGTGCAGCGATGCCTTCAGCCCCGTGACGGAGCTGCTTCAGCCCGGTGTCGGCCGGTTTGGGGCCGTGGCGTGCCCAGGTTTCGCACGTGGCAGGCGACCAGTGCTGGCCCAGCTGGGGATGTTCTGGTGAGCGCCTGGGACGATTCTCACGGGGACCACGTGGCCAGTCATTTCGGGGCTCGGCGGTGGTCGACCGAGGTGGTCGAGGTCTGGACTCCTCAAGTTTCCAATGTTTGAAACTGAAAGTCCACAGACCACAGATGTATGGTAGAGGCATGCTGAACTATTGGCAGTGTCCTGGGGTTCTGGGAAGTGTTGGATCAAGAAAGCTGAGACAAGAGGAGGGCACCATGAAAGACTTGCTTTGGAGGAAAGTTTTGGGGAGTCGTTCGAGGTTCATCACTTCATCGACTTAATTCCCATTTATTCCACGGTCGCTGCTTCAACGTGCTGCCCTGCAACGACTCAGAAACTCTCACGTGCAATGGAAACCAGCAAGAGGGAACAGAAGATGCGCCGAGCCTAGAACAAATCCTTGCATGCATCATCATGCATACACTTGGACGAGACACTAGTCACTGGGTTGGTGATGGTTCATCTCATGACGGATGACAGTCGGAGATGCCTCCCGGGTGTTCGTTCGTTCGCGGGATGAGGTCTTCTTCCAGGCGGCAAAGCTGGCCTTCCCAGTGTGCCTTGCCCCGCTGAACGTGACGGGACGAGCTTCCAGGGCTGAACCGTGTGGTGATGGCGTTGGGATGGGGAAGTGGACAAACCAAATTCTGAGTGCTTAGTAGGAGCAGGGCTTGGCTTTCTTAGAAGGATGATTGGTTGGAGTGACACCCTGTGGTAGGGCTGCAATCTCCTGTCCTACCACTATGACAGTCACGGTTGGTTTATCATTTAGCCAGAGGGTATGAACATTACAACGTCCTATTTTTGCCATGTTGGTTGGAGAATCGCTGTTCCAAGCAGAACAGTGATTCTCGTCGATGACAAAACCTCACATGTTTCAGCTCGGGCCACGGATCGGATGACCAAACCAAACCACGGCGGGTTCCATAGCGGTTCCACCGGAAGGAGTTCCGAACCAGGGAAAGGCGTTCCGAACGTGCGGCGTTCGGTGGCTCGGTGCGGTGGCGGATTTCTTTGGGGCCGACTGGGGCCGACGCAGGCCGTTCATGTTTGCAGCCTTTGGATGGTTCCTGGGCCAGGTGACGACCCCGACGCCATCCTCTCAGCCGACGACCCCGAGAACTGGAGGCCAACGTTCATGCTTTGGAGTCGTCCTGTGAGCTGAAGTAGGGACACCCAAAATTCAACCACAGGGTGAAGATTCCTTAAGTTGAATGGACACCCAAAATGATGAAGTAGGGACACCCAAAATTCTTTGGATCTTAAACATGTGAAGATTCCTTAAGTTTTCAGGTCTTAGTCAGGCCTTCATGGCGCCGGACTCGGCGGACTCGGCCATGTGGGCTGGAACAGGCTTTGCCAATCCATCTTGAACCTTTGCGCGGGAAGATCAGGAGGAATGAGCCTGAGGGATCCTTGAGGGTTTTGTAGGAATGCCAATGGCTTTTCATCCCGAACTCCCACAGTATTTGGCTTTTCTTGTTCCACTTGGTCCCAAAACCATCCCTGGCTGCCATTCCAAAAAGAAGGGTGCACCGGACCGGACCGGACGGCTGCAGGCAGTCCGGCACGGCCCTCCACCTCACTAGTGCCCTCGGGGGATAACTTCCTGCAGAGGAGAAGACCTGGACTCGGTGGATGGGAGCAGCGGTGGATGGACTGCACCTGAAATCATGGATGAACATGGCCCCTTTTGTAGAAGAAAGTGGCCTTAATGAAGGTCCATTCTTTTTTGCATGTGTCCAATGACCAGCACCGCCCTTTCAACTTGCAAAGGGGCGTGTTTTGATGTTGATGCTTGCTTATGGATCATGTGGGTATTTGGTTCACCAGCTATTCAATCCCACCCAGAACAAGGTGTGACGGCATGAAAGGAAAGTAGACTTGTCAGCAGCGACCTTGGGTCTATTTGACTGAACGGGGTCTCCTGAAGGAAGAATAAAAAGGAAATATCCGTATCGCGCCCAGGGGAACGATACTGCAGTTGATATCATCACAATGTTCTAGCATTTGAGAGTTGCAGCAGGTTATATAAGTGGTCTTGCTGGGTAGTTCTATCCAAGTGGTACCTTTCCGGAACACCGGTGCCCCAGTGCGGCGGGGCCCCAGAAGTGGACCTCTGACGCCGCGTGGATCGAAGTAAAGTGTTTGGGGTGTGGTATTCTGAACAGCTGTGCCACAACAACAGCCTAGTCAACAGAGTCAACAGCCTATGGCAGTAACACAAATGGATTTTTGAGAAGTAGCCCGGAACGGAGGAAGAGTTCCTTGCAGAACCCAGCTGTATTTGGGTCGTAGGACCATCAGGCTCTCCCTTGACCCATGTCTCCGAGGAGATGCTTGAAGACCTTGTCAGAAGCAGTTGCATATACCGAGAAGTTCAAGAACCTGTGCCACTTGGTGAATACTTCCATAGCATGATCATTTGACTCATTTGGAGAGGTTTGTGTCATTTGTCAAGGAATCCATCGTTTTTGGTACTTGACATGTTCTCTCGTGCGGCCAGAAGCCATAGGTCCACAGGTGTGGCCAGAAACCTTGACACAGCATAAATGGCTAAGCTACATGTGCATCAATATGTCATTGAAGTGGCTCCATGTTGCCCACCCTCAGAATGCAGACACAAACATGCGTAGCGGCCGCACGCAGCAACGCTGAGCTTGCACCACCCGCTCGCAGCTGGGGACCGGGACGCCCAGCTCGTGGTCTACCCACCTCCCCGCGCCATGGCGGCGAAAGTCTCGAATGAGAAGATTGTGAACAAGATGGAAGGCTTGGGTAAGAAGGCCGCCTCGAAGGCCCTCACCCTGGCAGCAAACAAGAAGCTGGGCCATGGAAAGGCGCAGGCTTCTTGGAAGAGTGATGGGTTTGACCGCGACATTCTCAGAATGGCCCCCCAGTGGAGATATTTAGACTGATGGCACCGATGTTTGGGTTGGAACTTGTTTCTTAAAAGCCCTCCCTCTACAGTCTCCAGCGCTTATGCTTTGGTTTTGGGGCTGGGAGATTCGTCAAGTACCAAGAGCACATGTGGCATGGCCATTCACTTCCAAAACTGCACTTTGGAGGCTGCCAGGCTGCCATGCTTCCCCCAAGAAAGGATATACCCTGAGATACGGGCTGTGAGGATAATCAGGATGATCACCGATCGGCTCGCGCGCGGTTTGTTCGCCTGACAAGGCTTTGAAGATGACCTTGTCCATACTTCTTTATACCGCCTCAATCGTGGGCATCATCATGCTTTTCCTTGCCATGCAACTTGGCAGTAAGAGTGTCTTAGTGGCCTTGGTAAGATCAAGCCCTTTGCCGCCCCCCTCATGACTAATTCACTCAGAACATTTGTTTTAGTGTATGCTGAGCGGTTGATGAAATAACTTTGACACCACCAAGAACCCCATAATTAGTATACTATTCCTTTAGCTCGGGGATACTAGTGAAGGAAGAACTTCTACATGCGCGCACAAGACATCAAGTGTATAAGCTCTATTTTTATACTGTAATAGAAACGTATATATATATATATATATATGTATGATGTATGTACAGACGCTCTCAAGTCAATATATAGAATATGAGACAATATTGGGAGAATTGTGACGTATGTTTTTTCAATAACCCCCTATAGTATGAATAATAGATTGCCCAAAGTTGAGTCAGATTTGTCCTTTGCCCTGCCGCAGTCATATCAGGAGCCACGTGCCACCACTCAACGAAGCTGGGCAGTAAATTAGCAAGTTTTTGGCATCAAGCTTGAAACACCATGGACGAAAAGCCGCCGGACGACTTCCTTCCCCGTTTTTGAAGGAGCGAAAAACGGTCATCGGTCTCCCGACAACCTGTGGGTCCGGGTAGTGGGACCATTCGGACCTGCGACCGAGGAATTCGTCAGACATCCACCTGGACCTGTGAAGCTGGGATTGCGCCTCAAGGATTGTGTGGTCGATTTGCTCATAGGCGATGCTCGATGTGCTCGTGTGGAGGATCGTCGGCCAACCGGTGAACCAAAAGCCCCACGCGTTCGACATCTTGGGGGGCGATCAGACGATTTGCAAATCGCTTCGTTGAATCTTTGTGATAGGAGCGGCACACAAAAATGGATGCACGATGTTGCCGCGATCCTTCATAACTAAGCAAGAATCAGAATCGTCGTCGCGGACTCTTCGATAACAGCCCTCCACCAGCTTTCCCAGTGCTGCCAGGTGATGAAGAAGGTCTTCACATTCATCGGACCACTGCGGACCTTGAAGTGCCAGGGAACGTGGAACCTTGCCCGAAAAAGTACTGGTGATGCTGGTGACCTTGGGAAATCGGTAAATATTTTGTCGTAATATATACAAGGCCGGCTCTATACATGACTTTTGCAGGTCGCTCATAACAATCCGAGGTTGTGACCGATATCTCTGCCTCCGAGTTGCTTAGATCACAAGCATTAACGTTTTTGGATGGCGTTTGTAGCCTCCCGTGAGACCCGCAAAAGATTGCAAAAGCCTGTCAAAGAGATCGTTTGCCCTACTCTCCAGGCAAGCTTAAGTAGCATGAACACGTGGCTTCAGAAAGAATTTGCTTGGTCAGCTTGGACTCGCTTTCAATCTCTTTTGGGCCCCATGTGGGCCCCAGATGTTTGGGTTGGAGAATCCTACTTGTCAGGTTCATCATTGGTTGTGCCGGGCCATCCAATGAAGAGGGCGACTTCGAGACCTTGCAAGTGGAGATCGGCCCAGATATCGTCATTGGCGCGGTTGATGTCTCCAGATTGGTTGATGTATCCTTTTTGTTGAGCATTTTACAGTTCGGATAGGTTCAGGCTTTTGCATGCTTTGGTGACCAGGACCTGGGATGGGCTCTCTTTCGATTCAAGTTTCTAGGCGCTGTTGGGCCAAGGTCTCCTTCGAAAGCGAGGGAGGCGCTGTACGTGCGAAAGGCGTAGAGGTCCGTGACAAGTTCTCCGCGAGACTTGGCAGCATTGACGTTATGTTGGTGCGCCATTGGTTTGTTACTTTGTTACCTTCTGTTGCCCTCCTTCGGCAGGGCAAACAAGGTTATATAATTAGATGTATAGGGGTGGTAGGGCCCGTGGTTTTTCATCATCTCCCCTGTTTGGTGGAACACAGGCGGGGACGAGTGGGCATTGTGCAGCTGGATGGCGACAACTCTTCGGAAGTCGAAATTCAACTGGATGTAGGCGCGGGGGGAGGGGCAGACACTGGGGTGGTGAGTGGGATGACCCGATTGTGGGGACGAAGCCATCCAACTCCAAGTCTCCCGTTCCCCGGCCGTTGGAGAACTGGAAGCGGGAGCATGTTCTTGGCCATCCGCCGCAACAACAATGCCTGTACCGCGGGAGTTGTGCTGCGTCAAAAGGATCTCTTGATCTGGCTTGAGAACTCTTAGGCCAGCAGTTTTCGAGAACTTCTTTACGTTCAATTTTGGTAGCGACATCAGCCAACCTCTCACATCCTTTTGCTAGTCCAGAATGCCCTAGAGGTTGGAGGTAACTCCTAGGCCCTAGCCCAGCAATATCCCATTTTAGAAGGCCAACTCTGTCATTGTTTGTTTCATTGCATTTTAATTACCTTGCTCCAATGGTCCAAGCTATACTGGGCCCCTAGATATCTTGATTTTGGGATCGACACGAGGGTGATGACCTTGTCATCCCAAGATTGACAGCACGTGTATATATATATATATTTATAATGGGTTTTATCAGGTTTTATAAGGCAACGACATGAAGATGAGCAACATTGTTTTGCCATTGTACCCTTTCAGGCTTGAGCAGCCAAGCAAATGCACCACCCTGGCACGCCCGTGTCCCCAACCCACCATTGCCAATCAAAAGCAATTCGAATTCTCTAGCTGAAACCCTTGAAGCTGATTTGAAACCATCAAGTCGTTGCAGGATATGTTGGCCTCGTGAATAGCCAGTTCGAGAGAGCAACACTTATCTTTGGTGAAGAGGTTGATGTGTCGCCTGGCTGGTCGGACGCGGGCGACTGTTGCAACAATAGGAAGTAGCCCAGTGAGATCTCAGCACCAAATCTGTGAGTTGCCTCAGCAGAATGAACCGGATTGTCAGATGTCCGGCACGTTTTTCCAGAACGCACAACTCCACAACCGTTTGACCAGGTACTTTTGGCAATATTCCTCACAGCAAGGCGTGCAGGTGACGATCGACACCACTGAGAGTGAGAATGCCACTGGTGGGCTGTGTGTTTCTGATAACACCACTACTCCGGTGCTGTCACAGGATGTGGAGGGTGATGCTCACTTCACCCTGGGAGTGCCTCCTTATAGGCACATTAACGTGACACGGAAGAATGGCAACAATGCAATGATCTTCAGCCATGGTGTGTGGATTAGCGACCGAAGCTTGTCGCGAAACCGAGTTTTCACCATACTTCAGCAACAGCTTTTCTAAATTAGAGGCCAGTGATTTAGGATCATTTAGGGTTTTGTTGTGAATTCAGCCGTTGGTCATGTTCTTCAAGTCTCAGCAAGGCTATGGGCATGTTTCGCGAATGAAATGCCAGCCCTTCACCCCACGACGTGTTCTCGTTTCAACGCTTCGAACGGGAAAAAACAAACACATGCCCCGGTTGGTCTTCGGATGGCATGGTCATGGTCGAAACCAGGGGGTGTGGGATCGTTTGCCTTGGTGTTTTGCTTCTCACCTTGACCCCCTCCCTTTCCGACACCACCGGTGTGGCCCCCCCACACCCGGTTCTTGCCGGTCTCCGTGCCCAGGAAATTGCTTGAATTCCTTTGACACCTTTGGCAGTGCGTTCAATCCCGCACCAACTCTCGGGGAGGGCTTCAAAGAATGGGCGAAGCAGGCGCACTGAGCCAAGAGACTGTGCCCTCCTTTGCGAAACAGTTTGCGAAATGTTCAGAGTCGTGTGAGCATGTAGTACATTGTAGTACTAATACAGTAGTTTTAGCTTATGACAGCATTTTGATTTTGCAATTGCAATTTGTGACTTGGCCGAGCTTTCAACTAGAGGGCGGGCCTTCCTTGCTGTCAGCTTTAATTGGCTTTGTTTGACGGGGCGATGTAGAGACAGACAGACTGACTGAGAGACAGAGGGGCTTGTGTGAAGCAACATCGGAACAAGTCCATCGTCGCTTTTCGGCCGAGAATCAAAGGGGCAGAGCTGTGTTGTGTGTCGTTTAGTCCCTTCAACTAAAGGGGGATCATGGTGCTTTTGTAGTCAGTCTATATACTTTGTCGGGATCAGGGATGGTTTCATGATGTTTCATGGTTTAGATTTTCTTTGTTAGGACAAAATCACGCACATGAAAAAACACGCGTACAGGGTCCTAACGCAGATCACGGTGTTTTCACTTAAGACGAAGTCCTGTTCTCCCCCAACGTCCGAAGACGACTTGATCCAGGCTTATGATGCTGGCATGGAGATCATGAACCTGTGGCTGGTGGGCGCTACGTTGGGGCAAGATGCACAATCCATCGACTCAACAGGCCCCGAATCATCCAAAAAATGACGTGGGCGCGAGGCAGAGCACGAAGACAGAGGGGTTCGAGGGGTAGGCAGTTCCTGTGTCTTTTTGAGGTTCTTAAATGTCGCAACTGGTTTGTTGCTTCGGGTGGCAGGGCTCCAAGCACGGCCAGGGGTCGGAGTGGCGAGTGCTCCACCTTGTTCCACCTTGTTCCACCTTGGGTTCGCAGGGTCGTGGGTCTTCACTACCACTGGCAGCGGCCTCATTTGGTTTCCAATGAGAAGTTGGAAGATTTTCACCCTGGGCATCATGGAGCCCCGAGCTGTCCGTGGCATGGCTCTCGTGCGGGACAAGACCTGCTTGTCCAACTACGCCAAGCTGGTGCAAGGCCAGAGCCGTGGAAGGTGGAAAAAACACTGCCCAAAATAATTACCTCGGGCCCACCGAGATGTACTTTGCGCACTTTGGCACTTGCAGTTTTCAAAGTTTGCTTACAGAACGGTTAGAACCCGCCTACCTGCTTGCCGGAGGCAAGCCTGGCTGTCGGCCAAGCCAGATCTCAGAGCAAGCCGTCATCAGCGATCTCAAGCAGACTTCGGCCATGGCAATCAGAAAGAGCTTGCCTCTTCAGCTGAACCTCACCAACGCTCCGAACAGCCGATACTCAACTTTTGCTGGTGCAGTGCCACTGTAACATGTTGTAATATCGCCACTGGTTGAGTGGTTAGTACAGCGTGTCTCTTTGTTTTCTCCACTGACACCTCATTTCTTACAAGAAAAAGGCCTGCGATGCCTATAGTTACCATATATATATATATACACATGTAATTAATACCCATTCTTCCGCCAGGAATTTATTATGTCCAAGATGTTCCCGTGCAAGCTTTTGGATGGCCTTCCATTGCTGATGGTCGAGTCTCTATCTTGGCCACCAAAACAGGCGGCTTTGTGAAGGATGTCATCTCCAACCGTGGCTACTTTCATGGCTTTGTAGGATGCCTGGCTTTGTTCGAGTGGTTTTGAGTGTTGAACATACTCCCCCCTTGTAGGAGAATTCTGGTTCAAACACCTTCTGCCAGCTCACTGAAGCCGCTCCGAGGATACATCTTCATTTCTGCGTTGTTCTTCTTGCCGTTTGTTGGAGGGGCATTTGCCTGTGCACTCGTCGTAATGCTGCACCCTGGCAGACTCCGGCATTTCACAAAACAGACGTGTTTCCTGTCATTGTGCGATATATAAGTGCTGTATATACTTGCATGATTGCAACAGGTACACCACCCCCTTGTTCAGATCGAAGATCGTTTGGGTGACGGCTTGTTTCCATGAAAAGCTTCTCGCGATGTTTCACGGGGTCGGACGGCCCCTGGCAGGACCCACCATCGCGGGTGTGAAACCATCGGTGCGTGTGACCCTGTGACCCGGTGACCGCGCCGGTACCGTCCTCAGGTATCGGATGGAGAAGCGCCGCTACCTCCGGGCACGGGGCACGGAGAAGCCCAAGAAGCCGAAGAAGAGTGCCGAGGCTTGGGGCGAGAGCGACGTAGAGCTGGATTCCAAGGAAGAACGACGGGCACGGAGCAAGAAGTCCATTTACTCCCAGAAGTTCAGCGCGGACGTGGCCGAAGAAATCCTGGAGTACTTCGGAGTATATAGGGGCTTGCGGTTGGGCCTTATAAATGTTCTATACACTGTAGTATGTTCTAGACATGATGAATGACATTTAAAGATCTCCCAACAACTACCCCAGCTTCATCATCACGAAAGGTAGCCCTTTAGGGGATACCTTGAGATTGTCTTGCGAAGCAAGTGTTGGGACGTCCGGGTCTAATAATTGATCGCTCAATTCAGACCCCCCCCCTCGAATTGATTTTTCAATACAGACCCCCCCCCCCCCCCCCCCTCTAAAATCAATTCTCTCCTGGAGATCGTCTTCGTGAGCCTCTCATGATTTCAGGATAGTTGAAACCCTCTTGAACATTCAGAAAGAGTGAATATGAAATTCTAATCACGAAAGGTGTTCCCCGAAGGGATACATACCTAGAGTTTGTTTTGTGAAGCACGTCAATTCTCTCCTGGGGAGCGTCTTCGTGAGCCTCTTATGGTTTCAGGATAGTTCAAATCCTATGATGTTCCGATTCAATGCTCACCGATGATCTGAGCCATGGGGCAAGTTTGTTTTCCTAAGAATCTTTTTGAACATTTCGAGAGCACATGTTTGAACATTTGAACATATATGTACGAAAGGTCGCCTCCGAGGGGATAAATCACCATGTCGAACATTGCATTTTTGTTCCTGCCTCTCGCGTTCTCTTCTCTTCCCGCTGTCCTACCTTTCGTGTCTCCCTCCTCTCAAGTGATCATGTTTCCCCATAATGAACCATGCAAGGTATTTGGATGCAGAGGCCAAGAGCAACCTCCTGCTGACCATTGTACGCTGCTTGATCCTCCGTTCACCTGCCGGGGGAAAAGAACTCTCAGTCAAGGAGCTGTGCCTGGGCTGCCTGGGTGCCAATTTCCGCTGGCCTTGGCCACCCACACCAGGCCTTGGCCACAGTCCCAGTTGGCACTCTTTTTGGTATATGATTCTTCAGGCGAGAAATGACAGGAGGTTGCACAGGAGGAACTCATAACTTGTATGCTTATTAGTTATTTATATATATATATGCCATGATATGAATGTATATATTTGATTATATTTGTATTTATATACCGTAATTACGATGTGTATATGGATTCCCTCTTTTTTTCGATCTACAACCAAATGGCGTGGAGGTGGGAAGCCCAGGATGGACCAGCCACCGTGCTCAGTCATTGCTTTCCATGTTCTGCGACTCGAGGGTTTTGAGATTCCAAGGGTGGGGTTGAGGTGCGAGATGGTGTTCGGGCATTTCATGGTGATGCAGCTGTTGGTGGTGCCCTTTGTGTTGCTCTCAGTCTTGATGTTGGAGAATCTGGGTGCTGCCAGAGCTATGTGTGGTCACAATGCCTGGGTGGCGGGGAGATGCATCAACCGCAAGATGATTGATTGGACCCTAGCCAGCATGTTCCGTCCAATGGATTTCGGGGGGCCAGGGCATCATCATGGGTGTCTCAATCACGGAGTCGCGGTATATCCCAACAACCTCCTTGCGGAAACCCATAGAAACACCCATTGGTTGGGTGTAATTTCCTTTGGTTGTTCCTCTCCACAATCTGGGCTAAAAAAAGGAGCACAGTCTCAAAACTGTTGGTTGGGGGTCCCGTGTTGAGACAGTCGTGTTGAGACAGTCATGTGATCGCTGTTGATGAGGAACTCTTGCATTTGGCCCAGCTATGCCCAGCTTTAAGATCTCAATCTGGATTTCTGACACCTGCGAGTTTGCTCATTTCATGCCTAGTTCCACGCAGCGGTGTTGGTTGTAACATATTGTAACCGCTTGTTGGATGCTTTTGTTGTAGGAGAAAGTCTTGTTGATGTGGGAGCGCTCAGTGAGCTTGTGGGTCCAAGCTTGTCAAAACACCATGCAGTTTGACCTCTCTCTCTCTCTTCGTTTGACGCGAAGGTCTACCGTTCTGATTGTGCTGGCGGTTGTTATCGATAGCTTCTTCTTTCTGAACTCCATTTTGGAGTACACCACACGCTACGCCTTGGATATGCTGGAAAGTACCGGATCAGCTCCGAAGTGCTTCAAAAGGATGATGCACATCCGAGCCAGCAAATTCTACTCAAAGACGCTCTCGGCAGTCATGGGCTTTGCCCTCTTTGTGTTTTGCGCTTACTTCATTTTGGTGTCTCAGGCTGATTGCAGGTTTCCTTTTTTTTAATGTTCTTTTGACCTTTGGAGGTGATGTTAGATGATGTTCAACTTTTATCAGGCCCCACTTTGTATCTCCCGTCCGGCGAGGTATGCTTGTTCATTCTGCTGGGGACCCTCCTCCACCCGTCCCAGCTGGCTCCGGTTCTTTTGGCCATTGGTGGCGCCGCGGTGGTCGGGCAGCAGATCACCATGAAGTTCAAAGAGATGGTCGAGAAGGTGCGGACGAAGCTCTCCGTGGATAGTGGTCTCGCCACGCCTCGGTCTGACACCGGACGGGTCCGACGGGGGGGGCGCTCAGCGGCCGGAGTCGATCAAGGCACGATCCAGGCCCCTTATGTAGACTCCAGTGCATTGGACATCCTCTTCATATCTCTTCATTTGGGGGTGAAAATGGCTCAAGAGTCTACATTGCACACGACCAAACGGAGTTGATCTCATGTTTGGTGATCCCATGACCGTCATAATCGATCGATTTCACCAAACATCACCGACCATCAGCCACCGGGACGAAGGGAGCACATCAAATTTGTGGGATCGGCTGGGTGGTGATTGTTTCTGGAGAAATAGAGCAGTAGGCGGCCCGGCCTTAGCATTCTTGAGAAATGGACCACAGTGCAGTAAGTCAATTCAACCAAGCGAAATGCCCGCCACATGAAGGAGGACTGAGCCAGACTCTTGGAGTGGCTCGACTCTAACAGGAGTTCAAGACAGCGCGCCCATGGGTTTGATGGTTCCAGTGCGGTTCTTGGCCTCGTGTTCGGTTCCCAGGCCAAGAAAATCGCCGCTGACCTGCTGAAGCAGGCGCGCATGGGACGAGGCTTGATGGTTTGTAGCCTGGGTCCCTCCATGTGGCTTCCATGAAAACGGACCCATGACCAGGTCGTGACCACCATGGGAGCATGAGCATACTGTTTGATGTTCCATTTGTTCAACCGACCACTGAGCTGGACATACCATATTTGCAGATTCCAGTGATGGCAAGTCACTTGCATCGCTGCAAGCATGCACGGTGCCCACCCAGAAAGCACAAGGAAGGGGGGGTAGACCTTGGTTAAGACTTCCTGGTTCCTGGTTCTGCAGCTTGCGACCGGTTCAACCTCTTCTTGCGGTTAAACTAACAAGAGCCGTTGAATATTCTTTAGAGTCGATCAATGCTCCTTTGGAACAGTTGACATCAGACCTTTTTTGAACAGTCGGGGCCTTTAGATCCACGTTGAACAGTTGGTTAACAATGAAACTCCCCTCCATTGAGTTCCCTGCTTTTGCAGGCTGAAGGCTTCTTGAAGGATGGGGAGTCCATGGTGAAGGGCGTGGCTGGTGATGCGCTCAAGCATTTGGAACTGAAAACTGCTTAGCAAGTGTTGCTATTGCATTATCTTCTGATCTCTCAATTATCTCTCAAGTAAAGCGTTTGATGTGCTCATATAAATTTGTTCACTATTGCTATGCCGTGCCCCAATGTATACTTGACAAGGAGTAATTCAATTTGTGGTGGGCCTTTAAAACCCCAAATAATTGTTTGCGCAAGGGACAAGTCCTCACACAGCGTGCCTCATTTGACATTTTTTATGAGAAGGGGCATGCAGAGGAAAAGGGACCAACGAGAAACTGTATGCCCAAACCCTCACCTTTCAGGGATTTGCGTTGACAATCAGGACAAGATCCCTGGTGGGAACAAAGTCTCTGGGATGTTGGACAAGATGCCGGATCTCTCTGTGGAGCAACTGATTGAGCAAGGCAAAGAACAGATGATCCAGGCTCTTGACAAGGCCGACGCATGTTGGGCCTGGCCGGGGGGTGGGCGGGGGCGCTAGAGGGACAAAGACAAGGAGTCCGTTGGCATGGCGCTTTGAATGTTGTAACGGGGTCCATTGAGATCCATTGAGATTGGAATTTGTTCGGCTGCGTCAGATGGCCAGGTGGAGAACGTGGAGGATGTGGCTCGGATGTTGCACGGCCTGGCACAGAGTGCCTCTCAAATGGTCCAGGGTGTGGCTGCACAAAACGTAGCTTGGCAAGAAAGTTTGTTCAGCCTCTCATCGAAGTTTGCGAATTGGAACATGTTTTGACAATAGTTGGAATTGGCGCCAGTTTGTGATATGCGATCCCTGTTTGGACTGGAGGGTGCATTTATTTATTGTTGTTTGTTCGGACATATTTTTTGGGTGGCTTTTGGCTTTTGCTGGCTGGTGGCTTTTGGCTTGTGGTAGCTTTTAAGAAAGTCACAGGATGTTCTAAGTTTTTCTTAGGTGCCTTCAGAAAACCAAAGAATGTTCAAGGTTTTTCTGACGAATATGTTCTGAAGAAGACTTTCAATGTTCACATTACTTTGTTCCTAACGTTTGGTTGAGAAGACCCAAGGATTTCCAAGGTGTCCTTTCTCCTTTTTCCTTTTCCTTTTTTCCCTTTTGCTTTTCCCTTTTTCCTTTCCCTTTCCTTTTCCCTTTCCTTTTCGCTTTCCCTTTCTTTTTCCTTTTCCCTTTCCTTTTCCTTCATCAAACTCAAGCAAAACAACAATATCCAAACTCGTTTGGACTCTTGGTTCAGATCCCCACTGATGGGACTTAGGCCTTGGCCAAAAGCATCCAAGAGCCTTTGGGATTGTCAAGAGTCTTACTGAGTCTTACTGTTGGGTATATACAGTTTTTGTGGAGCACCATGGAGTACCCAGTACCCTGCATGTTGTGGCTTCACAACACCAAGACGACTCAGATCGAGGTCGGTGACGTCTCCCGGATGCTCACGACGCTGGGGCGTAGCAACAAGGGCGCCGCCGGGCAGATGCTACAGGCAGCATTGGTGAACCACCGCGAGAGCGCTTTGACACTTGGAGCGGAACCGGAACTGTTTGGTGAGCCTCCCGTCCGGTCTGGTGAAAAAAAGAGGGATGTATTCTGGCCAGCTTGGTGACCCAACAACATAGAGTCATAGAGAGGGAACTATGCGGGTGGTCCTCCAGGAAATGCTAAACAACTGATTGAAGAAGGACATGAAAAGCCATCGGTCCTCAGCGAAAGTCTCGTGGCATCTCGCCTCGGATCGGGTTCCTCCATATTGCATGTAGGTTGCTCCGCTCAGGAAGATGGTCCAAGAGATGGCGGCACGTGATCCCTCCATGGCTGCAGGGATTTTGACCTCCATCCCAGGTGCTGAAGCTTGGCAAGCTTGGCAACTGGACCCAGTGAGACATAGTGAGACTAGTCGAAATTCTTCAAGTTGTAGCTTAGACTGTGTTGACTTGGGCGACCTCTCTTCAAAGTTCCTATTTGATCTTCAAACTAATTGACATGAAATAGCTAATCGACGTGGAGCCAGTTGGGGTGACGTGACATCCTCAAACCACAAGGCCTTCCCTCAATCAGGGGGGGCACGTGCTCAGAGGCTTGAGGTTTGGTGCATGTGTGTCCGGAATTTCTGAGGACACTGTGATGTCCATGGTCGAAGAGCTCCCACCTGAAGTGCAGGGACCATTGCGAGAGGCGCTGGGCTCTGCCTTTCCAAGCGGCCTGGACTCAGCTATGGACTCAGAGATGAAGGCCTCGCCTGGGCTCAGCTTGGACGAAGCCAACATGACGGACATCGTGGAGAATCTGCAGGGCTTGGCGACCAGCCACTTGGACCACCAGTGCCCCTGCAGCCACTTCTGTTTCCAAAGTGCTGCAATATACAGTGCGATTCCATCCATCTCCTTGCATGTTAGGGCCGGGATTGCCTAGGGGACGTTGGAACATCTCAGTGCAGATGCCGAAACCGCATCACATTGCAACTGAATCGGAGATCGTCCACGGCACGGCATCCGCAGGGCATGTTTTGGAAGCTTGCAGGGTGGAACGGTGGAACCGTTTCTGGAACAAACATTATAGCTATATGTATATAATTCTTCAAGCTTCCCGCACCCTTGGTATCCAGTGGTTTGTTTTTTATTTGCAAGTACGCTTAGCATCAGTCCAATAGGAGTTTGCTATATACTGTTCTCATGAGCGAACGTGCAGTACCCCCAAGCTGGTGCCACCTTTCTTCACATATGTGAAGGGAACCACAAATGACAAAACCAGTGCATGCTTCCAGGGAGATATGAGCATCCGACAACTTCCGTACATGCACGGATGCGTCGTTCTCGCCGCTTAGCCGTGATTTCTGAATTGATCAAAATACCTTGCAAAACCGCTAGGGGCTGAACCAGTAGGCGAACCCTATACCGTACACCAATACCTTTTTTTGATTGAAAGCAGCACATTGCCTGCATTCCAAAGCGCTGGAAACTACGTAGGGCCGGGCCAACCGATTTGGCGCACACAAAGGAGATCAAGGGAGTTTTGTCCACCCCTCATATGCCACATGAGTCACATGAGCCCTTGAAAAAAAACACCCCCAACCCCAAACGATATGCTGTATTACATATGTACAGATTCTCAATTCTGATATAGATATACAAGATACAACATGTGCGAACCATGGAGAAAAATATGCGCGAACCTCCTTTCCGATGTGTTTTTTTCAACACCCCTGCTAGTAAGCCATTGCTATGCATTGCCTGCTGTTGAGGCAATCCAGATGCTGCCTCCCAACTGCTGCAGGCAGTGGTCGCATCCTCCCCTGCCAGTGGGTCGGAGATGATGCAAAAAATGGTTCCTCGGACCTCCCAGGGTGGTCGTCCCAGTAAGCCGATCGCCTGCAGTTCGTTCCTGGTCATTCGGTCTGGGCGACTCCGGATCTTCGCTGATTAGGAGACCAGGGGTCCCAGAGGTGAATGGGACCAAACCCCCAAAAGGTTCTCCCAGGACATCACTGATTCGGACATGATCTCCGTGCATTGGTGGAGGATATGGCCCATACACCCTGGCCATACTGCCATACTCCAGCACGCTCCATGCCAAGCCGTGCCCATTTGTGAGGTCTCCCTGAGCCGTAGCTTTAGACGGCTGAATGGCCACACCACATTTAAACGACTAGCAGCGCTTGCGCCATTTAACTTTGATGTGGCAAACCTGTTCGCCAAGACGTGAGAGTAGGAGACCTTGCTGGGAGACCTTGCTGGGTGAACATATCTAATTCAATTGCAGCTCATGTTCAAAAGAGGTGGGCCTTTCCAATAGTCATATAGCCATATCAATATCCTTGCTTACAGATGTTTAGAGCAGCACACCAAGCAAAACCCATTGACGGCCATTGACCAGACCTTGTCTCTAAAAACATGTTGTGACATGCCACTCCTCAATCAGATCACCACTGAGCGACATCTCTTTGACCATGTTGGAGGCTGCCCCCCCCCAACAAAAGAATTCGTTACTATATGTATATATAAATAATCCTTTGGCAGTTGAAGTGGGGATGCCTGGACAGATGTTTGAGTCTTGTTGGCTTGGTGTGGACTTATGTGGACTTGTTTTTGCCAGAACTATTTCTCACGTTTGAACTAGTAGGTAACAACCAACTTATACAGAAAAAATGGTAACCTGAGCATTTTGTCATCCATCATTCGGTCCATTCTATGGTATTGTTGCTCCTCGCGCTGTTGGAGCTTTCGCCACTAAGGCTTCGATGAGCCCTGCTAGCGCAGTGGCCATGGTCAAGGGCCTAGCTGCCGGGAATCCGACACAAGCCATCCAACTCCTGGAATTGTTGGCAGATACGAAAGAAGCGGAGCAACTGTGACATGGGCAGCAGCCAGAAAGCCTTTTTCTCACCAAAAGGGGCGGGAGAGATGGGAGAAATGGAGTGATCAACTCACTCACTGGCTGGGAGAGATGGAGTGTCCTTCTTCAAACCATGCCTGCTGGTGGTTATGACACACATTAGACCAAATCGACATGGATCTTCCGGATGTCTCAAGGCAAGACCTTCTCAAGGATGCGGGGCTCCCGGTGAATGCCGCACAGATCCGGATGGCCAAGGACGTCCGAGTCGTCCGAGTCGGGTGTTGGGCCAGATTCGGCCACATTCCAAGAGAGGTTAAGTGACCTTATAGGACCTTACTGGGGTAACGTACCTATATGGGATGGGCTATAGGCTATAGGGTCCTTCAACCTCTGTTGATTCGGCCATTGTGTCAGGAGATGTTGGAAAAACTGATGCAAGGCAACTTCAATCCAATGGACGCTTTGAAGAGTGCAGTGGGACAAGAGCAGGAGAGACTCGGACGCAGAGGAGAGACTCGGACGTGGATGCCGGACTGGATGCATCCACCGAATGAAAGTTGTGACCATGAACTGACTGGTGCTTAGTAGGGAATAAGGGAATGGATCCTGAGGGGTCTACAGGGGTGGTTCATTCCCTCATTCCCTACCAAGCACTAGTCTGTGAATGACAGTGATTGTCTCAGCAACTTGGTGACAGCGCAAAAAACCGAGGAAGCTCGAAGTTGAAATCGCCATTGTTGAGGATGTGCAGAAAGCTGTTGATGATATGGGCACAACTGTTGACAAGGCTGAAGAGGAGAAGGAGGACTTTGATGAGAATATCCTGATGATGCTAGGACCCCGTTTGTTTGGTGTAAGGAGCTTTCAGCAGCGTTCGGTTTGCTTCACTCTCGCGATCAATTGCTTGTTTGCTGTTGACTTGCCCCGATGGGGGTGGAGAAAAAGGCAGCTCCCCAATCGGCCAGGACTCTCCAAAGGTCAATTGATTTTGCTGAACATTCAGGCGGTCTTGATCTTCCTCTTTTGGGCTTCTTGACCTGTTAAGCCCGGTTCTTGCGGTTATGGAAAGTTGAGTTGCTGTTTTAGTTCGACGATTCAAACGTCGGTAGGCACGCTCATCCAACCTCATGCAATTGGCATTGGTTTCGGCCGCATATTCAGACTGGCAAAAAAGACCGATGCCGAGACTTCTCAGCGCTGATGTAGAAGGACAACTAGCGAGCAGACATTTTTGTCGGGGCGCGAGATGGCGCGAGTTCCCCAAAAGGGCCGATCTTGCACCGGAACCGGAACCTGAGTTCTTCCATCGTCCACCAGGTGAGCTTCATGTTGATGGGCGCCTACCTTTTCCTCGGCAGCGAGGCCCTGCTGCCTCAGCTGGTGGCGAACGTCTCGGCGGTGGGTTCTGCTGTGACGATGATCCGCTCTAAGAGCAATGAACTGAAATCAGGCCGTGCACGGCACGGTGTGTCGTGTGTTTCTCACAGGTTTGCGTGGGGAGGTGGAGATCAGATGCACAATATGTTTGGGGGGATATTGAATTAGGCACGGAGGGAGGTGTTTTGCCGGTGTTCGGGCCAGATTTGTGGGGAGAAATTGTTTTGAGGAAATTAAAGATGACTGCTTGGGATATGAGATTTCCACTCAATCCAGGTTCCTGTCGTATGCATTCTATTGCATTGAGGCTTTGCTCCCGACGAGATTTAGGCTCGGCTTATTATAAGTGGGAGTTCGGGAAAGCTCATTTAGGCGATTTCGGGTTGAGGACTGGGAGAGGTTGGAGGATATTTTTGATCCTTGTTTCTTCGTCGAGGCCACCAACGCTGGCGCCACAACATGACAGCACGTAGTTATTGATTATCAGGTTATAAGAACATCACAGAATATCAGACACATGCAGGCATCAAAACCATATATAATATAGTCATAATTAGGCATATGTAAAAAAGAAAACATATATATATATATGTTATATATATATATATATATTATAATCTGTGGACCCCCCCAACATGCGCACACACAAACTTGTGTGTTTGTGTTCAGTTAGTCCAGTTTCCCCCCGAGGCCCGATCATTTGTTTGGTCCGATTGCACCGAGGTGATTTGAAAGCCATTCAGAGTACTATGCAGGGTGCTGCCTCCAAACTACAAGAGAAGCCAGAGCTAGAGAAGAAGACGCAATGAAGCGGGCTGTTTCTTCGCCCGGCGTTTTCGGGACCGAAGTGCGTCATGAGATCCCCGGTCCACCGGAGGATCAGATCGTTTCAGATGTTTTTGGACTTGAAAAGGTTTGGAGATTTGCTTTGTCGCGGACGGAACCGACATTGAAGGTGAAGAACCATCATGAGATTACATAAAGAAACAGGCTCTTTGGTGTTTTTCTCTTGCAAATCTCAGCATGGTCACCTGATCACGAGTGCCTGCTATCGCTCCTGGGGCAAACTTAAAGCGTTGTGCCCACAGCCGCAGTCTTTGCCGTACTAATTCTGTACAGTGAGACTCTTGGCTGATGCAACAGTCTGATGTACAGTCTGGTTGCGGCCTCCACATACGCAGAACCAGAGTGCCCTACCAACACCACTACTGTGACCAACCCAAGCTCGTGTACTTGAAGAGTCTTGAGCTAAGGGTTGAGTCATAGCGCTGAGCCGAGTCAACGCGAAAAGGCGCGTTGGGAGCCGCTCCGTTCCGAACTCCCATGGCCGAACATCCAGCGAGAGAGAGGGGGAGAGATTTGAGAGACGGCGAGAGTGGGATTTGTGGACCAGTTCCGGCACCAAAACAAATCAAATCCGGAGGGTTTTCTTTCCAAGGACGCCAGCATTAGCGACCCAAGAAGGTCAAACAACGTGCATATACATGGGGATTTGCACATGCCTAAGGATATAAAATGATAACATGAGCAGAGGCATGGGCTTTGGTGTTGAGACCCCCCCGGAAAATACCATTGGGGCACAGGGCATTGGGCAGCAGCTTATCCTTGCGAGTGCCCAGTTAGTAAGTGCCGACTCATCCGTTCCCAAGGTCGTCGTCGCTACGGCAGCCTTGTGCGAGCATGGCGCGAGCTGCTAGCAGCTTTGTTGGAATGGGATTTGTTGAGTGAGTCGACCGTGGGACTTCTGAAAGCCAATAGTGTCACTACTCCACAGGCCAACGACATACTCCAAACAAAAAACTACTTTCCCAGAGCTTCCTCGTGAACTCATCCAGATATCTCATGGGGCCCCTCGATTGGTGATTTTTTCACATGTGTTCATCGTTTTTGACCAGAATTCCTCATGGTGGAGCTGTGGGAAAACAAGCATACTCCGTCAGCAGTCTCACTCCGTCAAGCATACTCCGTCTCAGGACCCTCAAGGGGTCGGTCGCGTGGGGCAAGTGAAATTCTGTGGCAAGCTCAGCTGATCGTTGCCGTTGGGTGTTGGTAATGACGAACTGTTAGGTGGGATGTTTTCCTTGAGACTGCGACATGTTCCTTTCTTATTGCGTTTAGATGTGGCGATTCAACTGGCAAAGAGTGGTTGCAATTGGACTAGAATCGAGTGATCAATATATACATAATACGTACTATAGTCATAGAGGTGCGTAGAAACAGTTCCGCCATTGCAGACGCCTTGAATTCGCAGATTCGCAGAATCGAGACGTAGCTACCCTTGGTTCATCAATGAAGCTGCAAGTTCGCCAAGAAACTTGAAGCCCAACATGTTCGATGTCATTGATGCTAGCAAGAAAGCTAAAAGGTTTAGCAGTCTGACCATTCGGAAGTAACAGCCTGAGTTTGTTTCAATCTTTAAAGGGGGCATCCTGTTTTGATCGTTCAGGTGAGGCAGCGCGTCTCATGGGCTTCGAGCGTGTCTTCATCCTTTGGAAGCGGCTGGGAAGTCCTCAACGGTGGGTGTCAGAGATATTCAATCATCCAAGATACTCCATATATATATATATATATGGAATAGTAACCTTCAATAGGGTCATAAATTGGGCCAATGTCTATTCCATACATCGAGTTTCTGGGAACACAAGTTTTTCAACATGAATATACATGAATCATATCGATGCTGGACACCTGCACAAAAAGGGTGCAGCTTTGAACTAGCACATGGAATTCAGCGGAGCCCAACGGTATTCAATGATCCTCCACGTCCACACGATGCTGCCGTGTTTAGAACGTCACCAGATGGGTGATGGGCACTAGATGAGTGATTGGAGTATCGTTAGGCCGTACCATGCGGTGCCATGCCGTGGTTTCTTTCGGCCGAGGGCTTCGGGCTTCTGAAAAGTGGCACTGGTAAGTCTGTTGGTATTTTCGGAAGTTCTGATTTTGGTAGCATTGTTCGCCCACAGTTTTCTACTATACCCATGAACATTCTTGAAGGTTTCTTTTGGACTGAAAGCGTGATGGCGCTATGTTACGCAGAGTGTTTCGCTCAGGTTTGCTCCATTCTTGCCGCTCCCAGAAGGAAAGCCCTCTCACATTTCGGCCCTCTCAGGGTTTTGGATTCCGATGGCTCCAAGTTCATCACCTTGGATATGTGGGATCCGCCCTCCTACCGTCAGCTGCGCAGCAGGGGGGGGAGCCGGGAGAACCGGCGGTGTCGGCTGCGGCCAAAAAACACGATCTCGCCCGCTGGAACCCTGAAAATCCCTGTGGATACCTCTAAAAGGGCGAAGTGTTTTCATCATGTTTCCTGTTTGAGGTGGTTTGTAGGTGGTTTTTGTCCCTCAGTAGGAGGGGAAAAGCCAGTCGCCCCTCCAGTTTTTGTTGAGCAACATGATCTTCGTTTGCAAAAGCTCCACAAGCTTATGGCTATGGCTTGGGTCTGTCCTATTACCTGACAATTATCACGTTTCTTTTTTGAACAAGGCCTTTACTAACCATCATCCCCAACCTTATGGTCATATATTTAGGAACTTCCAATTTTTGCAAATTGCTGCTATTGCACCCTACTTCTTCCCAGCCAGCTTTGATCTTTCCCTCTCAGATGTCCACGTGTGCGGTATCAGGGGGATCATGGTCCACGGTATCAGCCTCCCCGCCCTGGCCCAACGACCGAGCCGGACTGAGCCGGTCGTTTTCGTCTTCGACTCCTACTTCCCAGGGGCTTTGATGGAGTTCCGGCACGTTTGCTTCCGAGAGTGGCTTGGGATGGATGAAAGCGGGAAGAACGGGAAAGACATGGAAAGACCTGATTCGGTGGACGAGACGACACAAGACGTGAAGGACTTAAGACGTGAAGCTGGCTGCACCACCGCGATTTAGAAGAACAGCAACCCCAACACCACCTCATCCACAAGGACCACGGCAGTAAGAACGACGGAGGATGTGTTTGGTACCGACAGGCCGAACAATCCTCGTAGAGCGTCCCATCCAGGAGGCTTTTGATGGCCTTTGTATATACAGCACCTATACCAGGACCCTCCAAGGGGTGTCCAATGAACTACCCCACACTACCTATAGGCTTCCAGACAGGGCACCCCTTGGAGGGTCCTGGTATGAACTCCGTGTGAGACCGAGCCCCGAAACCTGGTGGAAGTTCTGCTTGGAACCAGCCATCCGGCGTCTCAAAGACCCCGGGGTTGTCGGGTTCATGGTCTTCAACGTCGCAGCTGGTTTTAACAACTCTTTATCCTTCTTGATGTATGTTATGTTGACCAACCTTCTCCACCAGTCTCGAGCTATGGAGAACACGGCAAAAAAAACTGCACGTGGCAGACCTCAAGTCTTTGACCGAGCGTGGCATATCTCTGGAGTCATTCGTGTCGACACATGTACCTCATGGGCCGCATCCGTCTCCTTCAAGGTATGGTGGTCTACTGGAAGCCTTCCGATATGCTTTGGATTTAGATGGCTCTGGCACCTGCCGAAAGCCGGTCCTGGAAACTGGACAGCACATGGCACCGCAGATTGTTCGGGCGTACCTTTCGCACGGCTCGAGATGCAGACCTTCATGGCCTAAGCGATGCAAGGGATCACATGTGAAAAAGACCAGTTCTCATCGCTGCCATCGGTTTTGGCAGCCCTTTGACCCGCTTTCGATCATCCACTTCCATGCGCAAGTTTGTGAATGTGTTGCCTGTTTGTGTTAATCTCTGAATGACTTAACTATGCGCTTTGTGCTGTTGTGTAGGTAGTGCAACACGTGTGATAAATAATGGTGTAATATGCTGTGCGCACGTCTGGCGGAAAGAAGAATTGAGCCTGGACCCACAAAGGGAGCTCAAAGGTGTTTATGACCCATCCTTTGGATAAAGGTTCTTTTGGCCATGCTGCTTGGACGTTGCAACACAGAATGATGACACACAACTTGAATTACTGTGAATCGATCTGCCTGAGTGATTTCTCACTTGGGAAAAAATGACATCATTCAGACATTTGCTCTAAAGTTACCGGAGAAATGGGTTGACATGTTGAGGACCACATGATGCCGATATTCCCGGGGGGGCGTCCTTTGCGAAGAGTCATGTGTGTGTCTTTTTGCCCCCGGAACTCTTCAGAGCTCATCCGAGGCAAAGTTTTTAGCAAACTGTGACTACACTGGTGCCTTGGAGCAGAATGTCTCGAGAGATTCGCACTTGATTGGAGCAACTTCTGCAGACCATATAGGTCAGTCAGCAGCACATACTCTTAGCGGCTTAGCGTTGACTTGTGGTATACCATATGTATACTTATAGATATAATCTGCATATAATGGTCGCGTGTGTCCAACCTGGTCCTTCTAATCGAAGCTTGACGTGATTGTTCTCGGCGGCTCCACGTGTCTGACGTGGTCAGAATTGAGCCAACCAAGGAGATGTGGAGATCCTGTGGAACGCCTTGGATGAACATCGGGGTGGTTTCATTACCGTGGCCCGGTGAAGTTCGTTGGCAAAATCCATGGATTTTCGAGTCTTTTGCACTAAACAGCTGGAACACGAGGAATGAGCCAGATGAAGTGCCGAAAGGAGCACAGCTTCTAGCGCTGTCCAAAGATTTCACCACCTCTAAAAAGGCATGTCAGAGGCTGTTTCAGCCGCCGCCGCATGTCCAAGCATGTCCAACTCCATACGTTGCATAGCTCCAGACCGCTAGTGACGACCGACCGCTCGGTGCCTCGGATTATGCCCGCCTCGCTGAGGTCGAGGAAGTGGGTTTTCTGTTGGGATGGACCGGTGAAAAGTTCACTCCAACAGCCATGGACCGTGGCCCGGAGGGAAGGGTTCCGAGGGCGAGCGTTTTCCTGAAGGGCGGTAGTGAGAAGCAAGCCGAGGGGTGGAAGCACCCAGTACTGTAGATCCCCTCAATCTGGTAGGAGCCTAAAGTTTTTAAAGCAGCCATCCAAATTCACA